ATTAGAAATGAACAGTTTGCTAGATGAGCGGAAACTTGGCCATGATCTTATCATCGCGCGGACACACGTGTATTTTGGTTCTGTTCAGTGTAACCTGCACATATACATTAACCGCACGTTAATAACACACCGGATATCTGGGGTTGTTCTATAGTTATGAGGGTGTGTGGGATATAGCCGGTGAGTACAACTTAAAGTAATTAATTTCCGAAAACAACCAAATAGATCTTCCAGCAGAGCACGTCTATTTTATACCTTATCTTTATATATGGGATGACTCTCACGGCATGGAAGGAGCAACGATTATTAGCTCGGCTGAAAATATTTCAAACTTAAATACAGAATTTGGATAGATTAAGTGAAAGGAAGGCAAGGGAAGCTATTGAGTAGAGTAGTCTGTATAGTGGGGCCTTAAGAAGAAGAAAGAATGATCGAGAAGAACGACTCCCAAGGGTTAGTGCCCTTAGGCAGAATCCATGAATGGAGAGTAACTCCGAGCCACAGATATCCATCCAACCATACTCCGTTGGTATTGCTATTAACCAATCGACACTTACCTCTGTCATGAAGTCACGTTTTTGTCCAAGGACTTCCGATAGTTGTAGGAAAGTCCTTCTAAAACGTGAAGAAAGACGCCTACTTGACTTTTTCTATAAATCGTGAGATTGGGTATTATGGTTTAGTACGCCATCATAACAATTGGGAGCAGAGCAATACATGAACCCTTAATATGTCAATAAGTGTTACTACGACAGACAGCCTCAGGAATCACAAAAGACAAAAATTCCCAATATATTCATTGCTGTCGTCACGTCCTGAGAAATACATACTATGTTTCTTAAAGCAATACAGTAATAAAACGTAAACTTGCAATAGCTAGGATGAGTAAACACTATTTTTCAACCATTTTTAGAAAGCACAGTTTTACTAATCCATTTCTTAGCATCAAACTGAAGAACGCTATTGATTTTCTAGAACGAATTTTGAAAACTAGCGTATTTTTCATAGAAATGCCGTCTAAATAAGATTTGAAAAGGTAGTTTTTTACTTAACAATAACAATTTTGGTAATAGTAATATAGTTTAGAATAGGTATGTTGCGCGTTAAACTTTAGTAGTGTTCATAATTTTTAACGATGGGTAACATACATGATATAATACGACATTGTTAGTATAATAATATATAATACAATTTAATAAAATAACAAAATTTTAATTAAATCGTGAAATTTAGATTGATGATGTTTGGATTAATTCCAGTGATACAAAGACATAAAGAATTTTCCAAGTTACCGTCAATTAACCTTGTACGATGTTTTGATTTATAAACTTTCATAATTGAAACGAACTGTTTGCATTGATAAGTAGTACCAAACCCAGAAATCAGTTTTGTTGAGAATTTTTTGAGCTGGAAATGAAATATTTATATATGATAAAAATGATAATACATCATTCGTTATTATATATGTATTTATAAAAAATACCAATAAAAAATATAACAAAAAATTTAAACAGAAACACTTAAAATATGTTCGAAAATGTTTATCTACGTAAAATACATATATAAAACTAAAAACTTAAATAAAATGCTGGAAATATTTTGGAACTACCTTAAAGAAATTAGTAATAATTGTTTGTTTTTTTATTTTGTTGTTTTCAAGTTGATTGTATGGTATATTGTTTTCTGATGATCGGCGCAGTCCCAGACTCATTTCTTATGATCCATGGTTCTATATCATCGGCTGAAATATTTGCGTCTAACAATATTTTAGCAAGAACTTTTTCTTTCTGTTTTGTTCTTCATATGTTTCCATGACTTTTTTATTAGGTAGGTACTGATGCACTTAGTATCATGCCTCTTGCAACGAAAAAACTACGTTTTTAAAGTTGTTGAAATGTCGGTCTGAGATGTCTGCACAGACAGACTGTGTGAACAGTTTCGTGGTAAGTACATAACACAAATTTGATTGTCATCCCATTTAAGATGGATATGTTAGGAGTAAATTTAATTCTTGTATTTTTTTTCCAACAACAAACACATGTACATGACTTAGGTTATTTAATTTTTAATTAATTAAAAATAAAATTTAATTTTAATTAAAATAAATAATAAAAATTAATTTTATTTTTAAATAATTTTATTAAAAATAAAATTATTTTCGTATAACTTATTGGGATATCCCAAAAGTTCAATCTCAATTATTGCCGCCCAAATAGGAATGTCGTGAAAGAAATATGGATCTCAATTTTTTGAGAAAGATTACTGATGAAGCAACCTTCACAGAGACAGGTCTGTTTAATCGTAAAAATAAGCAAGCATGGGCAAATGAAAACTCACATAAAATTCAACTAGTAAAAATACAGGATCATAGATCGGTTCCTGTGGGGTGTGGCGTGCTAGCCAACCAAATAAGCGGACCGAGTTTTCTTCACGGATATCTGACCGGCAACCGATATTTAGATTTAATTGAAAATAACATCCAAAATTATTTGGAAATCCTTCCAGTGCGCGAATACATCAATCTGTTTTGGCATTAAGATGGGGCACCGCCCGACAATACCGATCTAGTTACTGAATACCTAAATGACAGATACGATCATTGGATATAGGGAGATATGGCAAGATTCAGTGCCCGGCTAACAATCCGGATTTAAACCCTCATGATATGTTCCTATGGGGATTTAAAAAAAACGAGTATACAATGACAGACCTCAAAATATACGAGTGCTGAGTCAAAGAATTGAACATGCCCAGAGATTATCCAGATAACATTAGAAAATGTACGGGAAATCATGGTGGAAATACAGACTGATCTAAATTAAAGGCTCATGATAGGAACTTTTTTATGAGTAGAGATACAAAGTCGGTTAAATTAGCAGCAGTAGGATTTTTTCCACTGATTGAGATGGTGAAAACAGAAAAACAATTAAATGTAGGGTATAGGAAAAAATGAGAAAAATGTACTGTTTTTAAATGGAACACCTTGTATATTTTTTACTCTGATATTCGTAAATCACCAACAGAACAATAAGGTCATATGCAATATTAGATTAAAATTTAAAGTAACCGAATTATCAGCACATTTCCTGCGTCGGTTTGTGCAGAGTCGAACTTGCTGACGTTTCGCCAATCATCGTGTTGGCTTCTTCAGTTCAGTTTTCAGTCAAGCTCTAGAGAAGCCAACAGGATGATTGGCGAAACGTCAGCAACTTCGACTCAGCAAAAACCGACGCAGGAGGAATCCAGAAGTTTTGCAGAAATTATTACAATAGTAGCCTGTGGAAGTTTCTTAAAAAAAAACTGAAACGAACTTCACCATTTTCCATCTCCATCCAATGCCAAAAGCGCCTGAGCTGGAATTTATGGCAAAATTTGTGTTTTTTGAAAATCGTTTTTAATAGAATTGTCACGATATGCTTCAAAATATCCAAGAACACCAATTTCTACGTCTTCACTTATAATAAAAAAAATTTGTCTCCTTTTTGCAAGAAAGGTTTCATTATTTCTGAATATTCGATAAAGGAGCAGAAAAAATTGTTCATGTGATGAAATGCGCACTTTTCTTCATGTGTAAAAATTAGTTTTGAATAAGTGATGCAGTGAAATTAATTTAAATAATTGGCAACAATTGATATAGCAGTTCTAATAATTAATACATTACAACTAATTTTTTGACCACTAGTTTTCTGTTCGCACGGCCTTTGAACAATTTTTTCTGTGGCTTTATCGAAATAATTAATCCGTTTATACTAAAAGGAGACGAAAAATTTTCATAACACATAAAGACGTGGAAATTGGTGTTATTATTATTGTTTCTTACGCTCAAATAAAACAATAAAAGCAAAATGGAGTTTTATTTCGCAACCATTCATAACCATCTACTCTAAAAATGTGCTGATTATTTTCAATTCTAGGCTAATATAGCATGTGACCTTTCTTGTTCTGTTGTTGATTTACGAACGATTGAAAAAAAATATGAAGGGTGTTACATTTTAAAAGATTACATCTTCAGTCGAACAAATTCTACTAGTTTGCTAATTTAATCGACTTTGTATCTCTATTCATGCCAAAGTTACCAATGATGAACAGTTAATTTAGATCAACCGGTAGAGAATATACATGTGGCTAAAGTTAGATTTGGATTTGGATTCGGATTTGCGAATATTACAATGGACCAGTTCGTTATTTACCTTAATTAAAAAAACGTATTCCTGTGGAAATACAGAAAATAACCCCTTTTCCACTCGCATCATCTGAAATAATAATTTAATTAATATTTCGCAATCTCGAAAATATCTGACGTCCCAGATGTTCAACCAGACCATTGAAGAGCCACTTCGGAGAACTTCAAAATGATGTATTGCTCAACCACTTTGAAACCGTAGGCAAGACATAAATCCACCCGCAATAATGAAATGCCGTAAAATTCATTTTATTTATTTCGGAATCTCGAAAAAAGCTGACGTTGTCCCAGATATCCAATTAAATCATTGAAGAGCCACTTAGGAGAGCTTTAAAATAATGTATTGCTCAACCACCTTGAAACGTTCGGGAAGATATAAAACTACCCCCAATAATGAAATAACCAAATATTCGTTTTATTTATTATTTATTATTTATTATTTAAGTGCGCAATCTCAAAAAATCTGACGTCCCAGGGATTCAACCAGATCACTAAAGAGCCCCTTAGGAGGACTTCAAAATGATGTAACGGGGTTACTTTCTGTATAGCAACATTGAATATGATTTTTGAGAGTTCCCTTACAATATTTCCGTGCTTGCTTTCCCGGCATTTCCACAACAATACGTTTTTTTTTTCAAATTAAGGTAAATAACGAACGAACGAACCAAATCCAAATCTAACTTCAACCACATAGGTTATATTTTATATTTTATCCAAAGCGGTCGATCTAGCAACTTCTTCGATCGGAAAGAAAAACTTCCGAGGCCCACTCCAGTCCGCACTCTCCGCACGATCGCAATAATTATTATTATTACAACTAAGTGAACCAGGACTCGGCATGAACGGTGCCACGCGTAAATAAATCCTTTTGAGTCTGGCCGTTTGGTTTCCGACAATTTTCAACGTCTGCGTTTATCACCGTTTGTCGTCGCGCGCACACACATTCACACAAACACACGTGCATCGACATATTTTCCACCGCACAAAACGCGCGTACGTAAGGGGAAACGAACGAACGGACGTGTTTACGGGAGATAAATCAGATTTCGAGTGCCCGCTTTCGCACCGGTGCCGCCGCAAGACGAGGGTTGCGGGTAAATTCGTAACGTCAATAGTGCATGATTTACATGAAATCCCAACGTCGTTGTCCTTTGAATTTGATCGCGTGTGAGAACATTAGATGTGTTGTAAACTCGGGATTGGATTCGTAATTCTATGAGGTAAACAACTGAAGCCCACGTTTAACGGGTAACACCACAAAGTTAAGGTCTATTCGAGAACGGTGCAGAGTAATAAAAGCTCATTATATGTATGCAAACCCCACGAATCCTCAAGCCATTTTCATTGTTTGGCATTGGTCGTTACTGTGAGGTATCTCATTTATTTATTTATTTATTTATAAGACAGACTACCGGACAGTTATTCATTATTCATTATAATAAAACTAGCTGTCCCGACAGACTTCGTACTGCCTCAATCGATAAATAAAAGGCCTAAACTTTTATATAAAATAAACAAAAAACGAATCCGTATTTTAGAAAAAAGCATTTTTTGAATGAAGCATGACGACGAACTTGCTGACGTTTCGCCAATTATCCTGGTGACTTGGGATTGGATTCGTAATTCTATGAGGTAAACAACTGAAGCCCACGTTTAACGGGTAACACCACAAAGTTAAGGTCTATTCCAGAACGGTGCAGAGTAATAAAAGCTCATTATATGTATGCAAACCCCACGAATCCTCAATCAATTTTCATTGTTTGGCATTGGTCGTTACTGTGAGGTATCTCATTTATTTATTTATTTATTTATAAGACAGGCTACCGGACAGTTATTCATTATTCATTATAATAAAACTAGCTGTCCCGACAGACTTCGTACTGCCTCAATCGATAAATAAAAGGCCTAAACTTTTATATAAAATAAACAAAAAACGAATCCGTATTTTAGAAAAAAGCATTTTTTGAATGCAGCATGAAGACGAACTTGCTGACGTTTCGCCAATTATCCTGGTGACTTCTTCAGAGCTTAACTGAAGCTAGCTCGCATTTTACTCTGTACCTGCTTATATATTGTTTGAGGGGAGCGGAGCTAAATGAGAGGCTTAAACACCGTCTCGGATGACTGATTCCCATATTGGTGACTTGAGTCGCAGTTAACGTTGTTAGGTTGAAGATTTCTATAGACTCTCGGATGTTTCGTTGGTAAAAGAATTGATTACATGCAAGAATTTTAGTTTTATCGAATAAAATTTTATGTCCGGTTTCGTGATTGTGTTCGGCAACAGCTGATGAGTTTAATTGTCTTAGTCGTAAGGCCTCTTTCGTGTTCCTTGGGCCTAGCTGATATTTTTCGTCCGGTTTCTCCAATGTATTATTTGCGACATATGTATGGAATGCTGTAAACTCCTGGCATCTCAAATGGAATTTTATCTTTGACAGACAGAAGATATTGAGAGATTTTTGTGGTAAATCTGGTTTTGACGTTAAACTTCTTTAGAACTTTTGATATGTGGTCAGTGATATTCTGAATGTAAGGAAGGACGACAGTGTCAAGTGTAGGATTGCTTTCGGCCTCATTGTTATTGGAAGGATGCGGTGAAGTGTATTTATTAGAGAGAAGAGCCGAGGTAAGGTATTTTAATTCTGGGTTCAGTGACTCGGGCTGAGATAGGTTTTGCGGCTCTGTAAACAACATAATTGATAACCGAAGATTTTTGGTCCGGATGGTGATGTGACCACGCATTAAGGTATCGGTCTGTGTGCGTAGGTAAACACAATGACCCAATTTAAGGTCTGATTTTCTATTGATAAGAATATCTAATATATAATATAATGGAAGGTTATTATTAGTTTCCAACTAAATGGTAAAACGTAAGTTAGGATGTATAGAGTAGTTTAAATATCTAAGATAATCTACTAGGGTTTCTTGACCATGAGGCCAAATAACAAAAGTATCATCGACGTAGCGTTTCCATAATTTAGGTTTTAGGTGAAAGCTTTCTTCTCAAAGGCTTCCATAAATATATTCACGATGACTGATGATAGTGGAGAACCCATAGCTGTTCCCAATGTTTGTTCAAAAATGTTGACGAAACTAAGTAGAATATTTTGTGTATCTAATGTAATGTAATGTAATTGCTCAACGTAGTGAAAGGAATTAAGTACGAAACTATCAGTTTTCCCTGTAAGGGGTTTTCATAAGGAAGTTAGATATTTTGCTAGAGAATATGTTGGAGAACGAATGGTGTTGACAATATGTCGAAGGGATAATCCTGGTTTGTGGATCTTTGGGAGTCCGTACTTGTCACCAATATGGGAATCAGTCATCTGAGACGGGGTTTGTGCCCCTCATTTAGCTCCGCCTCCCTCAAACAATATATAAGCTGATACAGAGTAAAATGCGAGTCGGTTTCTGTCAAGCTCTGAAGAAGCCAACAGGATGATTGGCAAAACGTCAGCAAGTTCGACTCAAAACCGACGCAGGAGGAATCCAGAAGTTTTGTAAAAAGTATTACAAGTTTCTTTGAAAAAAAAAAAAAAGAAAAAAACAGAGTTTTCCTAAAATACTGGATATTTATAAGATATAAATTTGATATTGACGACCACACACTGTTATGATACAGTCTATTAATCAATTTAAAGCTTTTTCATAAACTACATTTTTTGTTTTGCTTTGTGATGCGTAAATTAAGAAGTAATACGGTTTTCCGATGCGCGAATACGCGACGTATAATTGTCCGTGTCCGTTGTATAGTCACAAAATGTAATCATCATCGTAATCATTAGTAGTACTGATTTTCAATTTGGCCGGCTTCGCGATATTATCACTTTTGTTGAGACTGTTTTGATAGATATGATTAATTTTTCTTACCTATTAAACCTTCCCTAGACCTCTACGAACATTTCAAGACCAAGATAAGATAAACCCGTTCTGCCATTCTCGAGTTTTTACAAGAATAACGAACAATTGGGTATAAGGCAATAACAGCAAATACAAAAATACAAAAATCTACGTGCTCGCTGACTATACTAGTACAAAAGCGGCCTATACATTATCTCTAAATCTTTGAGTGTTATATAAAAAAAATTGAATACCGAAGTTGTTTCCAGTAAAATTATCTTTCTTTTTTGTATTATTTCAATTGTCACCAAATTACACGGGGTGATTAAATAAAGTTATATATTTTAAATGTTTAATTATAAATATCTATATATCGGTCGGAATATCTTGTTAGAAAGGTTTTTGTAACGTTGCATATTCACTTTTAAAACTTTTTTCTGCGCAACATATTTTAGAAGATAATTATATATTTTTGTAGTTCCGAATAGCAGTTTAATATTTATCAATAGAAAAATAAACTTGTTATATGCACCCTGAAAATTTGATATTTTGTTGGATACTTCATAAAAAAATAAAGGTTCTGAACTTTGAACAATTTTTTGGGACAATTGTGAAAAGAAATTTTTAGCAAATGTTGTGTTGCTGGTTATTTAAAATATTGTTAAATTTTATAAAAATTCTTTATTAAAAAAAATCAATAAATACATATTGTTTCATTTACTCATTTTAATTTAATTTAACCTGATATATAACCTGATATAAATTTTTTTTTTCTCAACCCGGGTTCCCTATTAAATTACTTGATCATAATATATAATGAGAATTAACTGAGTGCACACAGGGCGCTCATAAGATAAGGCCCAATTGGCAAGACATGAAAATCCATGTTACGTGGGAATTTTAAATGGACCACCCCATATTTTATATTGGCACGTAAATAAGCAATTAATTTGCTATTTAAAAGTACTAATCTATGGTGTATCTACTTTCACTGGTAAAAAAATAAGTGACATGTCTAGATGCATTCGGGTTTCTCGTTGATGGCACATAATTATGCAAACGCAAATATTTTGAATTTGTTTTACATTTATGGTGAGATTTAATGAAGAATATGTTTTTGAAACCTACGAAGAAGGGAACTTCCAAAATCTGTTACAAACTCAAAAGAAAATGAAACCAACGGATTAGCATATTTTCGCGCATTTTCACATGCGTTTATTCGGAGCGCTAAAGATGATTTAGGGCTTATCTTATTCGTTCATTCAACTGATAATGAAGAAACATAATCTACATAATTGCAAAATAATTACATTACAATCTCCACTCCCACCATTACGCGTCGAGTTTTGTGAGATGATATTGATTAGAATACAAGAAAATCGAGATTTTTTTAAAACAATTGTTTGGACCGATGAGTCAAAATTTTTGACGGAAGGGTATTTTTAACAAAAGAAATAATCATTTTTTGTCATCGGAAAATCCAAAATTTGTACGTGAAAATTGACCGGTCGATTCCACAACCGTACTTGACTGGTCGGAATAAAAAAACCCAAAGCGCAAAATCACTTTTCGTAGAGAAGGACGAAATTATCTGCTGGCGACGACAAAGCAGTTAGACAGTTTTGAAAAAAATTGTTACAGGCATGGATAATGCTAGCTATCACCCAAGAGAATCCGCCTCTTTTTAGAAAAAGAGAATTAATTGAAATAACGGTAAATAAGAAGCAATTTTTCAAGAATGTGCTGAAAAAAGAGCTACTGGAGATTGTAAATTTAAATAAACCTCTGTGTGTGAAATTTATTCTAGACCAAATTGCTTCAAAATACCTTGGTAATATCACTGTGAATTACACCCCATAGAACTGATATTGCAGCAAGTAGCAAGGCAAAACACCGCTTTTAAAATGACGGACATTGAACATTGAAAAATGAAATAAATGCGTCTAACATTGTGATTGAAATAGAAGAAAGAGTGTTAGCAAAACAAAAAGATACGCCAACGAAATTGTCCGTTGTGATTTAATACCGACGTCATCCAACAGTTTTTTTTAATTTAAACCATCTCCTGGGATTGTCACAACAATGTGTCCAGATTGACTGATTTGTGCTGGTAAAGTGGAGTTTTTAACATCAAATCATATTAAATTTGGCATAAATCGCTTCTCAAGCTATCCCAAGGATGGCGAATAATAGGATTCCAATGATTATCCACTCACCTACCTCTCCTTCAAAACAGTTAGATATTCTAGACATTACAAAACTATCACTCCCGCCTTTTTCAAATTGCAATCCAGAAACTTAACCCAGCTAATACTGGCGATAATCACGTGAGGTAGAGTAACCGAAGCTGCTGCGAACACATTTGAAAGAAATATTA